ATACATATATATATATATATATACACACACTGGGAAACTTAAGAACTAGGAATCTTATAGATATATAGAAACTACATTAATTTGTTAAAAAGAAACACCTAAAGTCAGCTAAAAACTAAGAGCAAGGATGGAATATTTTTCCTCCGAAAGGAGCAGGAATTTCCTGTTCAGTGACTGTGTCAGGCACACCCTAATACACACCTTACATACTGTTTGCAACTCCATGAATTAGGTATTACCTCCATTTTACAGATGAGGAAACCAGGTCCAAAATTAACTTGGCAAGTGACACAATGAATTAAGCAGAAGTCAGGATTCAAAGCCAGATTAAAGGCTGGACTCCACGATTTAAGATATCTCATCATGCTGCCTGATCTGATAAAACTAGCAGATGCAATTCGAGAAGAATGACAGGCCACAGGATGAGGTGGCTCAACAGATCTTGCTACGTTCATTCCTCTTTAAAGCACTAACCAGAAAGTTCGCAAAAAGGGGCTTCCTGTCCACACTGCTTTCCCTGGTGCCCAGGTTGTCAAGAGCATACTCACCAGGTATATGACACTCGATTTAAAAGCAGTCACCAAACTTAGCTGCTCCTTCACTGACAGCTAACATATGAGGATGAAAGGCTGTCCATGTACTTGAAAGCAATACCTGGTCACACTACGGTTTTGTCACATATGGCTTTACAGCATCCGTCACACTGTGCTGATGGTCTGCATGCCTGTCACTACCAGCCAAACTCCCTGCCCCAGACTAGAAACCCAGTGAAAGCAGGGACTTTTTCCTAATTACCACTGGAGCCCCAGCACCTAGCACACAGCAGTCACTAAATATTTGTTCAAATAATCATTCTAGGCAGCCACTAAGAAGCAAATTACGGGAGAGTTTTCCTAACGCATTAAGTGTATAAAGCAGGATTCTTCTATGTGATCCTAGTTTTATAAAATTACATATACTAACCCCCAGCAATACTCAGGAGCAACTTGGCCATAGGTAAATAAGCATGCGCCTGCTGCCTTTCACTCTCAAGAGCCTGAACAGTGAGCCCATATGAGAAGCAGCTCATTTACCAACTATGCAACCACTTGGAACACCTGCCCATCCAACGCTTGGGGGTACAAATGTGAAGTCCACTTCATGGAGTTCCCCAGAGCCAGACTCCTCTTAGCCGCCATCATAGGACCTCTTGTAGCCAGGTTCAGATGCTCTAGGGATGACCAGACAGTCATACTTCAAAGTACCTCTAGGATGCCCCCTCAAAGTGTGATGCAGTTATATGGCATGTACTGTATATCATACCATCTCAGATAAAATCTTCAAATGTGTTCATCCAGGCATTTTCAAATGACGTGATTAATAGACATTCATGAAGAACTATACACATTTATTTCTGAAGGATGCATATACACCAAAATGTTATCTCCTATTAGAGGTCTGTGTGATAGAGTAATTCATTTTCTGCATTTCCTACAATGAACATATTACTTCTGTACTAAATGAATTAAAGCTAAAGGTCACATGGCCAGTGCACAGTGACTCTTATTCTAAAATCACACTGAAAATTATTTTGAAAAACGGACCACCTCCATCATTGAGCAATATCAAAGCAACACAATGTTTATGTGACAGATAATACAAAAAGATGTGCTCCCTGCATTTGACAGAACATTGTAGGGGTGGAGTGGATGGGTGCAATAGGTGAATGGGAGAAAGAGGCACAAAATCTCAATCATAAATGAGTCACGGAGATGAAAGTATAGCATAGGAAACATAGTCAATAATTGCATAACATAACTTTATGTTGACTGGTAAGTCCACTAATTGGGATAAGCAACAAAGAATGTAGATAACTGTCCAATCACCATGTTGTATACCTGAAACCAATACAATGTCATCACCTATACGTCAATAAAAAAAAAAAAACATAGCAGGGGTGCAAGATATGCACACACAAAAATGTTAACATGCCAGGCAATATAATTACCAAAGGTATGTGAGCAGGAGGTGTTTCACCCAAGCTTTGACAAAGGGCACACTCATCGTGAGCTAGAACAAGGGCAGGGGGCTCCGTGCAAAAGGGCATCTTGAACAGACCTTGAAGATGGATTCAAAACTTTAGCACGAATTCAAAAAAGGAAAAATATGAGCAGACTGTGGGATTTGGGAATCATGTGCATCTGAGTAATAGAAAACAAATAGCTTTGCTAGCACTCACAGTAAAAGAATGCAAATGTTTTCTGGGGAACAATAAAGAATAAAATGCAGCTGGGCAGGTAAAAACTCAAGAGAATAGGGCAAAGAGCAGAAATCAGGGTCAAAGAAATATGGGGAAAAAGGCATATTTTTACTTTTACTTGCAGGAGTTCTCCAATCTTAGTAGGCTAGTGGGCACGGAGTCTCTTCCCGCTGAGAAGAGGTCTGGTCTCATTTGATGACAGAGGCGTTTCACTGAAGAGATTAGTGGATAGAAAAACACCTTGGGAAACACCAAGTTCAACAGACAACAAAGGCAAAACAATGAAGGGTTTGAATGCCAAGGCAAACTGAGCGGTCTGGCCCTGGTCCTTCTAACAGGGCCTGGATTCCCCAGCACAGAGGAAGAGGACCTCAGTGTTTCCACTGTGGGACTCAGAACCAGATATCGCTGCCATCAGAACATTCCCACCTGACAGAATTCCCCGCGGTCGGCACCACCTCCCTTCTTCCCAGAGCGCCTTGACAGCGAGCAGCCCCTTCCTAGGACCTGCAGGCGCTGGAGGCACGCCTTACTATAAAGGGACTGAAGAGCTATGATGAGAACTGGTGCTCCGGAGGGCCCCGGCACAGCAATGATGAAGAGAGCAAGTGTTTTTAAAGTCTTGTGTGGTACAAAGTAGTTTGTTCAAATGAGAGGTGGCAAGGCATTTGTTATAGCATCAGCTCCGGGGGCCATAACCAGCATTTCTTTAAAAACAACTAAATAAGAAAAAACAGTAAGAAATCAGATGTATCACATGTACAAAGGGCAAGTAGAGTTTTATAAAACTTTCCGTTACATATACTTTATTGAGCTCTGTGTTCTAGACCATGGTTCAAGTGTATTTTTTACTGTGGTCACAGATAAAATGTTTCAATGTCACTGCTTCAAAGGACTGGAGGCGACTGCACTCCCCAAAACGGACAGACGGGACCCTCTAAGGCAGTGGGGGAGGATTAGTAGAAAGAAAGACAAACTGAAGAGACACCTAAAACAGCAAAGAAAATGTCAGGAATGAAAACGCTAGGAGTATTACACCAGGGTCTTTAGGGGAAAAGGCAGCCACAATAATTAAGCAAGCAAATTGTGAAGACAGGGAGATGCATGTAGGTTAAGCCACATTTGGTTTCAAGAGACAAGAGAACATCCAGATGGAAGTCCAAAAAAGCTCTCCCACACCACAACCTCAAAAACAGGTCCCCAACATTGCTTTGATTTAGTCACCTTTTACAGTATTGCATTAATTATCTTCCAGTTCAACGTTTTAAATTTATGCTGTTCTCAGCCAAGTGGTTATGACTTTAAGCACATATCACACTGAGGAACCAATACCCTCGGTTAGTCTCTGCCTGTCACAGTATTTACCATCCCAGGGGCTTCACTTTGACTTAGCGTTCGACGGATATGTAGACAGGCCTGTGTACATAGATAGGCCTGTCACACGGCTGTGTGCTTACGCTGATCGCAGCAGCACACAGACATCTGAGCCACACAAGCTCTCCTGCACTAATGCTACTAAGGAACGAGTTGTGACAAAGGCCACCTTGTCAGCTGCCATGCGGGCCGCCCCCGTCCTGTGAAGCTGCACAGTCGGCTCAGGGACCACGCTGATCCAGCAAAAGGGCACAAGGGGAATGGCAGAACTCCAACAGATCACTTTAGCCAGGGCTGAATCCCCATGTACGGCAGAACAGACATAATTAAACGAGGCAGTGTGGACTTAAAGGTAAAATGTCATCCCCACCAGGCCCTTGATGAAAGTACTTTTGCTTTACAGAAGCCTTTTTATGAAGTAAATTACATTAATTACCAACATTTAAAAACATCCAACATTTAAGGGTTCTGAATCTCTGATTTATTTGACAGCAGGGAAATAACAGGTTTAGATTATTTTACAAAAGAGCTCAAGCTGCTCATAAACAGCAACTGGGCTTGCTGGGGGAAAAAATTCTTCAGACTACTGCACAGGACACAAAGAGTCATCATCCTACACAAAGTCGGTACGAAAGGGCGCACAGACAAGTTTTTTTATAAGACAGAAAACAGAGAAATCCACACACTAAGTAATGTGTCCACAAAGACAAGAGGGCATCCCTTAGGGGATAAGCACGTATTTGTAGGAAGCAAAACAAAGCTTTCCATAGAGAAACCACTTTCACGAGATGATTAGGTGGACCTGCAATGAAGAAAATACATTTCAAAAGATGGGTTGAGACTTACACTAAGTTTTCACTGATATACTTATAAAATAAAAATAAAACCTTTCTGTAGCCCAAAAAATCTTTAATACATCATGGATAAAATAAATTTCAGTAAAGGTCCAAGTCTCATTCAGAAACATACATTTGTAAATAATGTAAGTAAAACAAAAAGTTTGACAACAAAAATACCATTTGCAACTACGTAGAATAGGCCAAGCTAAATTCGTGTTCTGCTTCAGGGCATTACATTGAAATGAATGTCATTCTCACTATAATTTTTTTCTTTTTAACCTTAATCACCAACGGCTGGGCAACTGAAATGGACATGAAGAACTATATAAATGTCAGAGAAATATATAAACCTCATTAATGTTTCCAAAAATTCATTTAGAGATAGAAACAGGTCCAAATAGATGCCTGTCTAAATGTACTGCAATTACGTTACAATTATTTTTCCAAATACACAGATATGCTCTGTCTTTTCTCAGGTCATTACTGACTCAAACAATTTGCCCTTCTGGGATCAATTGTTTGCTAATAAATAATTGTTTACAGTCACAAAATCAAGTTAGGAGGTTTTCTTATTAGTTTTCCTTCTGCACCCTAATAAGATTGAAAACTAGCTGATTCCCAGGAGTCAACCTTAACCCTGCTTTGTTGAACAGCCCAGGAAACGATGAACCATCTGCTTCGGAAAATAATGGACAGCCAAGAGGAAATACTGTTTAATTGTAGATTAACCTCCTCATGAGGCAGTCTGAAGCAGCTTTAGAATTAGGAACTATAACCAGCAAAAAA